TATTTCTTTAAGTAACTGAATATAACGGTAAGGTGTGTGGCTTGTGGATGCTGCTGATTGTTCTTGACCTGTTGGTACACTGCACACGAGAAACGGAATGTAATTGTTTCAAAGCGAAAACTGCTAGCAGAAACTGTATTGCTTGCCTCTGGCATATCTTCTTTGGAAAAATCTTTTCTGGATGTGTTTGAACTCATATTTTGTCAACGGTTAATGTCGACTGAAGTTGTAAATCTTGACGAACGGAATTTGAGTCAAATACATGTGCAAATTTATTCAACTTTGCCAATCATGGAAGCCAAGTATTGACATGGCTTGTGATTTGAGTCAAAAGCTCACTTCCGTCTTAAACTCCAATTACGTCACAAAAGAAATTGAGATGAACTTCATTGTCTTTTGTTTTAAATGCTTTGGTTCACGTAAATTTCAATGTTTGAACTTGGCCCAAGTTTGCTAAATGCACGCAGAAATCAATTGAATATACAACATCAATTGCTTTGCAGATTTAGGGGCTGTTTACATGAGCACGGGTAGCCGTGATTCAGCGAGGTTTGAATTGATTTTTGAGTAAATGAAAGGAGTCAAAACTTCAAGCGCAAACTTAAACCGTTTCAAGCGTCATAAATCATTTCAGTTGTAATTTTCCAATCAGGCTAATATATTTGTTTTCAATTTAAAGGTTTTGTGAATTTGCAAAGACAGAGATTATAAAGAAATTGCTGAAATAATTTTTTGTTGTTGTGAAGTATTTAATCTTTTCTATTTGCCTAAATGATTTAACTTATCGTTGAATCCCAGCTACCCTTTCATGTGAACAGCCCTAAGTGACATTAATGAAATCTGCATTAGATAATTTGGTCTGCAATAGCTAATTATTTCCGCTTGTTTTAATATACACGGCGTCCATGTTCGTAGCAACTTATGAAAATATGATAACGTTTTTGAAGCCCTTTAAGGCGAGAGCCACACTATCATTGAAATACAACGAATTTTGTGACGAGTTGCTCTTTAACAAGAATTCGTGACGAGCCTTTGGTGCCACACTATGACAATTTTATCAAAACATTCATGGACTAAAAATCAACGTAAGAAGAAGTTGCTATTAATATTAAAGAGGAAATAATTGCTGCTTTTACCGTCCAAACAACAATGGGTATCCGAAAGGAGGCTTTGGGTGCATCCAATAAATTGAAGGCGACAGGATGAATATAAAAATAAGCATTTGTAGCCAATCTGTCATGTTGCCAGTACAACAGTGAGCACACAATTAGTCATGTAATGCTTTATATCCAATCAGATCGAGGAGATCACTCGTTACTCGATGAAGATTTCAGTCCATGCTCATCGTCGATGAATCGGCCGTGTCTTCATATTTTCGTTAACGATTGTGATTTACAAAGTCAGAGAATATAAAGAAATTGCTCAGGTAAGTTTTTTGTTGTTTGTAAAGTTTTGGTAGTCATTATAGTCTGGATGGTCGTGGTACTGAAAATCTAAATCGATAGTAAGTACGTTAAAGTATGATGTTAGACTTTCTCAAAGAAAAGATCTTGCTGTTAAGTTTGCGTAGTAGTGATGTTGTTGGGATTTCGTTTGTGTTTTTGTACGTTTGTCTGTCGTTAACAAGTGTGTCCATTTTGTCGAAGTAATAAGTCTTGTCCATGACCCAAATCACGCGTCGTTTAGTCTTTGAGTGTTTATTGCTCGTCCTTTGTCAAGTTGTTAGCAACGGTCGATTACATACAAAATACAACAACGAAACTATTCACATTTTGTTGTTAATTTCATGCTTCACAAGATTGATCATCCTTTATCTTGAAAATTTGAAGTTCGAGGGATACGAAGCAAAAGTATTTAGGCCGTTGACCAATGAGCTCAAAATTTGGCTGTACACATCCAACAACTATTGATTAATTTCATGGTGTCATAGTAAATCATGTAAAAGCAAGTAATCAATGGTCGAAAGCATGGCAAATATACGCTAGAAATATTTTTTATTCGAGATGACGTCATTAATGATTATCAAAATCAAAAATTAGCAAATTCCGAAAACTAGGAGTGCCATTATATATACTAACTTCAGTTTGGTAAAAAATACATTAAACAGTTTTCTTTCTGTTATTCATTTTTATCATGATGCTGATATGTCTTGTCTTCTACCACAGACTGACATGCCAACTCATCCGTTTTTACTGGTTGTCACCTAAATCCTAACATAAATCTCCTGAACACCAGGTTGACAATCATATTCACCTGTTTAAAACTTTTGCAATAACACGTATTTAGTAAATGTGTATTTTGAGCGAATCAAGTTTGTGGGATTCTTTAATTGAGAAGTGTATACACCATTACATTGACGAACAGAAGAACTCAGTAAAAAGGAATTGTGTATAAACATAAAACCGTGAAAACTCAAGTAAATTTCTTTTTCATACAATTTGTGTGAAAGATTTGAACG